ATTTCGGCTGCGTCCCAGCTGTGGTTGGTTAGTTCGCTGCAGCTCAATTCACACCTGGTGACCCTGCCCCCTGGTTGTCTCACGCTTGCAGCTCACTGGCAGCCCTGGCAGCTTGCAGCCCCCGCCCCCAGCACCTCTTGCAGCCCCGGCCTTGAGGCTTCCCCCGGCGGTAGGTCCTGCTCTGCTCCGCGCTAGGTAATTAGGCCCCCGCGCGGCCCGCTCGGTCCTTACTCGCCGCCGTCGCTTTCGCCTGCGGCTGCTAACCAAAAAGTATCCCCACTAGCCTACTCCACGCTTGTCGGTCCAGTTCGTCTTCGACGGCGTTTGCCTGATTCGCACCGAGCGTTCGACCTCTGCGTGTTTATGGTCGCGCCGCCGCGCTATTTTGGCTGCGTTTACTTGCTGGTCGCCACCGGGATGTCCACGCCACAGGGTTTTGGAGTATCGGTTTTGCCTCGTCTTCGTTCGCTTCGCTTACCTTTTTTTCCTGCTGCCTAGTCGCGGCCCGACTAGTGTTTGGACGGTGTTCGACCCGCTTCGCGAGCCTGTTGACCAACAAATATCCCCACTAGCCCGTCCAGAAACGACCAGGCGAGTAGAGGTGCTGTCGTGAGAGGTTTTCGGAGGTTTCATGGGGCCATCTTGGGGTTGCAGGAGCGGTCAAAACCGCCGCAAGATGCAGCTAATATAATTTCCCACGCACAGAACTTGAGACGCCTCGAGCCACCTTGGGAAGAAAGGGGCTCTCTTGGGGTCCATTTGGGGCCCTCTTGGCTCTTGGGGCTCTTTTGGAGGGTGTTGGGGCCCTCTTGGGGTTCCCGGGGAGGTCTGGAGGCCTTGATCGGCAGTCTTGGGGCCCGTGGCTAGAAAAAAAGAGGTCCTCAATTCAGGCCCCGTCCCCCGGGGACACAAACAAAAACGTCTTGGGCCCCCTCTTGGGCCGCTTTGGGGGCCCTCTTGGGTTTCTCTTGGGTCTCTCTTGGGGCTCTCTTGGGCCATCCTGGGGCCATCGCTAGGCTTTAAAAAAAGGCAATCTGAAGCGAAAAGGTGAGCACGCAAACGGCATAGTTTCCCCTTAGGTTTTGGAGCCATTTGGGCCTCTTGGGGGGGTCCTTGGAGGGCTCGGAGAGCACTTGAAACCGTCTTGGGGTCAGTCTTCAGCCCTCTTGGATGTGCGTCGGAGGCTGTCATGGACCATCTTGAGGTCATTTCGGAGGTCATCTTAGGCTTTCCAAACCCCTCTTTGGAGCCATCTTGGACTACAAAGGACGCTCTGCGACATCACGGCCCCCCCCCATCCGGACCCTGGGGGGGGAAGTAAACCTCCCCGACAGGGGGAGGAAGGAGGTGGGAAAAGGGCACGTTTTAGACCACCTGCGCCGTGAAGGGTTGGTGGAATTCCCCGCCAACCTTGTGCCATCACAATGGGGAGCGTGGCATTTAATGTTCCGCCCGCCCAACCGATCGAACGCCCCACCACTGAGAGAAGATTCCATTAAATGCCCCCCCCGCCCGACCAGCGTTTTCGGCGGTTGCGAAACAGTTCTCCCCGACCTTGTCCCATCAAAGAGCGAAGGTTTCATTGAATGTCCCGCCCGTCGCCGTCGCGGTCGCGGTCGCGGTCGCGGTCGCGGTCGCGGTTGCGGTCGTGGTCGTGGTCGTGGTAGTCGTCGTCGTTGTCGTCGTCGTCGTCGTCGTCGTCGTCGTCGTCGTCGTCGTCGTCGTCGTCTTCGTCGTCGTCGTCGTCGTCGTCATCGTCATCGTCATCGTCATGACCGTCGTCGTTTCGTCACCCCTTGCGCACGCCCGACTATATGTCGCTGTCGCTCATCGTCGTCGCCGCCGTCGTCGTCGGACACGCCCCGGGCACACCCCATACACGCCGGACGCGCCAGACACCCCGGACACCCCGGACACCCCGGACGCGCCACGCCGGACAACCCGGACACGCTTGATACGCGCCAGACACGCCGGACACCCCGGACACCCCGGACACGCCAGACACCCCGGATACCGCGGACACGCCGGACAACCCGGACACCCCAGACAACCCGGATACCTCGGACACGTCAGACACGCTGGACACCCCAGACACCCCAAACATTCCCGACACCCTGGACACCCAGGACACCCCGGACACCCGGGACAGCCCGAGCACCCCGGACACCCCAGACACCCCGGACACCCAGGACACCCCGGACACCCGGGACCCCCCGAGCACCCCGGACACCCCGGACACCCCAGACACCCCGGACACCCAGGACATCCAGGACACCCCAGACATCCCGGATATGTCAGACATTCTTGATATTTTGGACACCCCAGATACCCTAATCCCTGGATAATCCCCGGACAATTCCCAGACAATCCCCGGACACCGGACACACACACACACACACACACACACACACGCACACACACACACAACGCACACACACGGGATTATAGTAGCGGCGGCCGCCGTTACCGTTACCCCTCCCGCCCGACCCCCCCCCCCCCCAGTGACGACCGTTACCCAGGAAAGAGGAAAAACGATCACCAGCGCTCATGTCGGTCGGCCCCGAGGTATCAGGTCGAGGTCGGCTCGGGGAGGATGCATTCATGTTCCTCGTGTTTGTCGGATGTTCTTGTGCGTCCAGGGGGGGTATCCTCGAGTGACGTTATGGTTTGGGGTGTTTTGGCCGGCGGGGGGGTCTCATGTTCTTGAAGGATGTTTTTCTGTTTCTCGTCGCCATGAAGAGAAGGGGCCCTGGAGATGTTTCAAAGTTCTTCGGCCTTGCAGGGCACTCCCTGGGCCCAGGGGCCGTGCATAGACGGTGTGGGCTGAAGAAACAGTCCTGGGGAAAGAGTCCAGGACCCGCCTTACACCTAGACCACTGTCCCTCATGCCAATTTCGTCCCGTTGCTGGTACAAGCGCCCCTGCCGCGTCTGCCATTTGCCAGGTCGTGGAGCGGTTCCACTCTCGAAGGAGGGAGGTCCGTCGCGTAATAAAGCCATTTCTCGAGCGTGTGCGCGTGATTGGCGACCAGGGGAAGGACCTCATCTTCAGAGGATATATCCTACACCATGTCGCGACAATCGGTATCTTTGTTTTCTGCTTGTGGTCGCACTACTTATCCTCAATTTGCGTGTTGGGATTCTGCTTCGAGATCCCCGTATTTTTCATGAACATCCGGGAATTCCTTTACACATTCCGTGACACGTGGCGAGCAGGCAAATTGGACAAGGGGTACGTCAACAATTTGTGGACGATCATATTCGTATTATTTGTATTGTCGCGTGGAGGCTCGCACGCTCTATATTTCCACTCGGTCGTGTACTGGAAACCGATGTTGGCCACGTTGCCCACAAAGGTGTGGTACTTGTATCACGCAGTTTCTCTATTTTTCTTGTTATCCAATCGCTTCGCTCATTCCGGCGGCCCATTTTTGGCACTGCTGCGTCGACTGGCCGAGAGAAGGAGGAACAAGTCTCTGGATGGCTTGTCGTGCCGCAGTCTCCTGGCAGGTGTCTCGGAAGCCTTTTGGAGACAGTTCTGAGGCTTCTTGAGGCCTCGTCATGGCCGTTTGGGTGCCCTGGAGGCCTGATTTTAGGCCTCTCGGGGGCTTCTTGGGAATTTTTGGTGCTTCTTGGGAGCCTGCTGGCGGTCTCGGAGGGGCCCCTGGGGTCGGAAAACTTTATAACATGTCATTTGGAGTTCCTTTTCTGAGGGCGTCTTGGGCCGTCTTGGAGCCTTCTTGGGCCGTCTTGGGCGCATCTAGGGGGCATGGTGGGCCATCTTGGGGCGATCTTGGGGCAGTTTTGGACGATGCCAGAAATGCACGTTTGAGATGATGTTTGCTTGTTGGGGCCCTCTTGCAGAGTGCTCTCTTGGAGCTTCTCGGCGGCGCCTAGGGCCGTCTGGAGACCAGTATGGGCGTCTTGGACTTGGAGCAATCTTTCGTCGACTCGGGACCCCTTGGACCGTCTCGGGGGCGTCTCGGAGCATTTCTGGCGCGTTCCTGGAGCGCTCTGGGAGGCCTGGAAGGCAGCCCTCTTGGGCCGTCTTGGGCGCACATTGGTGGCATGTTGGGCCATCTTGGGGCGATCTTGGGGGACTCTTGGGCAGTCTTGGGCGCTGTGAACCTCCGAACGTCGTCTATGCAAGAAATGCACGTTTTCCGCACGAAATGAGACGATGTTTGCTTGTTGGGGCCCTTTTGGAGGGCCTCTTGAGGCTCTCTTGGAGCTTCTCGGCGGCGCCTAGGGCCGTCTGGAGACCAGCATGGGCGTCTTGGACTTGGAGCAATCTTCCAGGGATTCGGGGCCCCTTGGACCGTCTCGGGGGCGTCTCGAATCCTTCTTGGCGCTTTCCTGGAGCGCTCTGGGAGGCCTGGAAGGCAGCCCTCTTAGGCCGTTTTGAGCCCTCTTGGGCCGTCTTTGGCGCATCTAGGGGGCATGTTAGGCCATCTTGGGGCGATCTTGGGGGGCTTTTTGGCAGTCTTGGGCGCTGTGACCCTCCAAACGTCGTCTATTCCAGAAATGCACGTTTTCCGCACGAAATGAGACGATGTTTGCTTGTTGGGGCCCACTGGAGGGCCTCTTGAGGCTCTCTTCGAGTTTCTCGGCGACGCCTAGGGCCGTCTGGAGACCAGTATGGGCGTCTTGGACTTCGAGCAATCTTTCGGCGATTCGGGGCCCTTTGGACCGTCTCGGGGGCGTGTCGGAGCATTTCTGGCGCGTTCCTGGAGCGCTCTGGGAGGCCTGGAAGGCAGCCCTCCTCTTGGGCCGTCTTGGAGCCCTCTTGGGCAGTTTTGTGCGCATCTTGGGGGCACGTTGGGCCATCTTGGGGCGATCTTGGGGGCTTTTGGGCAGTCTTGGGCGCTGTGAACCTCCGAACGTCGTCTATGCCAGAAATTGTGTGGGCGTGGCACGTAATTGCTTGAGCCCCTTTTTAGATGTTGCAGCCCCTTCAGCAGCTGTCCCTCTGCTGCTGCTGGGGCTCAAGCTTTCAGCGGGTATGTTCCCGAAGCAGCACCCGGCCAGCTTGCTCGGGGCCGTGCTCCTTTTTGGGCAGGCTTCGCGGCCCGCGGGGGATTCGGCCCCTCGCCCCTGGCGGCGAACGCTGAGGGCTGGCAGCGGACCGGGCCGGGCCACGAGCTGGAGGCCAGGTCGACAGCCACCACCACCACACTGCTGCCCACGACCTCGACGGTGGTGGACTGCAGCTGCCCGGCGCCTGTGGCGCGAGTGCCGGCCGCGCCGCAGCCGCTGCGGGTGGTCGGAGGCGGGCGGACGGCCACGGTGGAGGTCCCGCTCGCCGCGCTGGCTGTGGCCGCGGCCGCTGGCGCCTGCGGCGCCGCCTGGAGGCAGCGGGCGCGGCGCTGCTCGGCGAGGATCGCCCACGAGCCGATCGGCGAAGCCAGGATCCGCGTGGCGTGATGGCGGCGCCGCTGCCAGACGCGGCCCCTGGATTGCGGATTTTGGTGCAGTACGAGGAAGAAGATGCGGGTTGGACTCACGAGAGACTGCTGCTGTGGCCGAGTGCTGCCGATGGCTCGGAGTGGATGGTGTACACGGCGGGGAACGACTTGTATGCAGAGGCCTGGAAGGACTATCGCTCCGCAGTGACGTGGGCGGGCAGGAGGCGTTTCCCACCTGGCGTTCGGAACGTTGTCACGTTCAGCAGGCCTCTGCTCGACGCCGAGATGATCAGCCTCCTGAGGCGCGCTCGGGGCGAGGTCGTGCTGGAGCATGGCAGCGATGCCGCGGGCTGGTGGACGCAGGACGCAGTTGACTGGAACGGTGGGCGGCTGGCCGCGCTTCCCGCGACGGCGGTGCTGCGAGTGCGGCTGCGGACGCGGGGCAAGCATTCGGCGGCCCAGACCGAGTCCGCCGCCTGAGTCGCGGCCCCCACCGGGTGCCGGGTGCTGGCGTCGATGGATGCTGGCGATGCGTCCGGGCGCGAGCTCGAGCTGAGTGCCGCTGCGATCCTTCGAGGGCGACGCGGGCTCGACCGAGGCGCCGATGGCGAGTGGGTTCCGATCGAGTACGTCACGACAGAGGAGATCGGGGGCTGGCGCGACGCCAAGATCGCGGCGGCCGATCGGCTGAGGCCTGCGAGGGCCAGGCTGGATGATCGCCTCGAGGTCGGAGGCGCTCGCGCGCGACCCGCGGGGCCTGCTGGGATGAGCGCCGCCGCATCTGACAGTGCTGGACAGGAGGACCTCCGCACCTGTTGGATCGACGTGGACGAAACGGGGGCCCGTTTCAAAGAGTGGCGCAAGGTGGTGCAGGAGAGCACGCAGGAGGTCTTCTCGGACTCCAGCCTGCGAGATGTACCGCCACTGCGGCACGCCGAAGATCTGGTTTCAGGAGTGGTGCAAGGAGACAGGGATCTCGGCGAGATCGAGCATACCACGAGGTGCAGACGCTAATGGGGTGCTTGTACCTCGCGGGCACCTACGACCAGGTGAACATGGGGGCGCTCGCGTCTCTGGGGTTGTCGCTCGCCGGCTGCTGCAGTGCACGGAGGCCTACGCGCGCGGGGCGGACCGCGCCAACTGGGCCGCGGCGAAGCACCTGGCGGGGACTACCAACCCGCTGGACTTGGCGCCAGACGCGCTGCGGAGCTTCGCGAGCCAGCTCAGCAAGGAGGAGCACGAGCTGGAGGCGCTTCGGGCGCGCGCCAACGCCCCTGGCGGTGCGCCAGGCGACGGCGGCCGCGGGGCAGCTGCGGCGGCTGCGGAGGCTGGCGGTCTGGCGCCCCCTGGAGGCGGCGCTGCAGGAGAGGGCGCTAGAGATGGCGGAGACGGTGGCCGCGGCCGCGGCCGAGGACGCAGAGGCGGGCGGGGCCGCGGGCCTCGCCCGCCGGACACATGACGCCCAGGGCCGAGGGGGGCGGGCGCCGGGCCGCTCCCTGCAGATCCAAGGGCAACCGAGTGCTGCTGGGCTCCTCTTTCCTGCCCGTGGCCCAGCTAGCCAGGCTGCCCCGACTGGCGTGGGGGCCTCAGCGCGGCCCGGCGGCGGCGGTGGCTTCGCGACGGCAGCGCAGCCTGCGAGAGCTTGAAGCATTTGCGCGGCGGGGTTCATCGAGACGATCGCGCGCCTCCGAGCTTGATCAGTCAACTCAAGATGGACTCCATCACGGCGGACGCGCAGCAGCGCGTCTACTCGGCAGCCCGCCGCTGGATAGACGTTGACAGCGCCGTCGCGGAGGAGGAGGCCCTCGCCGGGCTTCTCAAGGGCATGGCGGGGCATGCCCCGCTTGGCTCGACCAGCATGGGCTCCCACGAGTACTCGCGGGCGAGCTTGCCAGACAGCGTCGTCGACGCGCCGAGCCTGGCCGCCATGCTTCCCGCGCGGGCGAGGCTCTATCTCGAGGAGTTTGCCGCTGGGGTGCTGCTCCCGCCTCAGAAAACTGCGCTAAATCGGGAACTCGACGGACTTCCTGGTCGTCATGCCGATCCTTTGCTGCTGCAGCGGCCGAGGAGCCACGGGAAGTTAGCGCGGCGCGCGCTCGCCATCGGCCTGGTCTGCCTGGCCCGTCGACCTCTGAGTGTGCTAGGCTTATGTTTTGCGAAGAAGGATGTTTCTCGTCTTCGTATCATCGTGGACTGTAGGAGAAGCGACGCTTTGCTTCGCCCACCCCTGGGCGTCGATTTGCTGTCGGGCGAGGGTCTCGGTCGCATAGAGATGCCGATCTTGGAGGAGGGCGACTACTCACCACTCTGCGCTGTGCCCGGGGTGGGTGACGTTGCCGATTGCTTTCGTAGGATGAAACTAGACGGAGATATCAGACGTTTTTTTTGCTGGCCGCCGCTGGGCGCTGCCTTGACTGGAGAGACGCTGGTGGGGAAGCCGCCCCGTGAAGGAAGGCGAATGGGTTTGGCCGATGAGTCGGAGCCTTCCCACGGGCTTCTCGCGGTCGCTGTACTTCGCGCGGGCTGCCGACCAGTCGGGGCTTGATCGGCAGCCATCGCTGGTCCATAGCCTTCGACTGGGCGATCGTGGGACGCCGCTGGTACTGCGCGACGGCGAGGAACCGACAATGGGGCACTTCATGTACGTCGACAGTGCCGGTGTCCTCGGGCTGGCGGAGGCGCACGTGCGATCGGCGCCTCTGGTGGCCCATGCTGACTTCGAGAAGGACCACCTGGAGTTCCACGAGGTGGAGCTGCTGCCTGAGGGGGGGCTGCAGCTTGGGCTGCCACGTGGATGGCCGGCGCCGCGCTACTCGGCCGACCGACGAGAGGTTCGCTATGGCGCGGAAGGGCTTCAAGCGCTTGCTGAAGGGTCGGGAGGTCGCAGGCTGGCAGCTGGAGATGGTGTTGGGCCACATGACGTTCATGGCCTTGGTTCGTCATGAGATACTGTCCATCTTCCATGTAGTATGCGCTTTCGTGGCGCAAAGTTGCCACGCCGTCTCTCTGCCGTGGCCGTCTGTGCGAGAGGAGCTGACCTGCTACCTCGGTATCATGGTGATGCTGGAGTCGAGCTGGGCCCGCGCGCGGGCTGGCCCACTCTTCCGACGCGAGCCTCTGCGGCTACGGCGTCGCCGAGGCGAGCTTCGACCCAGAGACCGTGGCAGAGGTCGGGCGCGTCACAGAGCTGCCGCGGCGGCGCCTGGGCGCTGGGCTCGCGACGCAGCGCGCTTTCGAGTGCGCCGGCTCCCTGTTCGACGGCGAGGCGGGCGAGGTCGTCCGCGATGCCAGCGGGGCGCCGCGCCAGCTGGGCGCCGAGCTGCGGCGCGCGCTGGCCAGTGAGCGCTGGGAGGTCGATCCCAGCCTCCCCGAGGTGCCCAGCCAGTTGTTGCAGGACCCCCACTGGACCACAGTGATGGCAGACAGGTGGGCCTTTTTAGACGATATCCTTAGATTGGAGGCACGGGCGCTCGTGAAGGCTGCGTCTCGTGCTGCGCTCTGTCAGCTTGTAAAAGAATGCCGCGCTCTTCCTTTGGGAGACAACCTATCCGTCGTGTTGTGTTTCTGTTGGTTCAGGTCCAAGGTTTATCGGCTTTTCATTCAGGCCCGTTGTTTTGCAGCTCTGTGCCTTGCGAGAGACATTAAATTTGTGGTTCGTTGGATTCCGAGCGAGTTCAATTCTGGTGATGAGGGAAGTCGGAGATTCGATCTTGAATATGATGCCAGCAAGACCCTCGTCGCCCACCTCGGCCCAGACATGGTTCCGGCCGAGGTTTCTTGTTGCCTAGTTGATGTTTCCTTGGCGAGCGCCGGCCAACAGCGAGGGCTCGCGGTGGCGGACGCCGAGCAGGACTTCTGCGCCATTGGGCTCGCCCGCGACCGAGGTGGGCCGGAGGCGCGCGCGGGCGCTGAGCGCGGGGGGGGGGGGGGCCGACTGGAGTCGCTGGGGGGCCCACCCGCCCAGAGGGCACGCGCGTTGGATCCCAGCCGCGGGCTCGCTGCGAGGTTGGAGACAACCCGTGCAGGCGCCCCCCCAGGCGAGCGCGGAGGCCTGCTTGGAGCTGGGCCAGCGCCAGGGCCTTCGACCCCCAGTGGACGCCGCCGCCCGCGCGGGCACCGAGGCCGAGAGCGTGGGCGAGGAGAGCAGCGACGCCGAGGAGGCCCCCGCTGCGGGCAGCAGTTCGAGGCGGCTGGAGACGCGGGGGAAGGCCCGCGTTCGCAAGGCGCTCGAGACGCTGGAGACCTCAGCCGACGCCGAGTGCGACGAGAGGCTGGGGATCAGCTACCTCGAGCGGTGTCAGTTGGGGCGTCGGCGCTCGAGACCTATCGCCAGTGCGCGCTCGCGTTCTGCGTCTGGGCCCGCTGCTCGCTGGATTCGCTGCCAGAGCCCGCGGAGCTGGGCGCCCACCTGGTGGACTACATGAACGCGGGTTTCTTGCAGGGGGTGACGAGCTGGCGGGGCGAGAAGCTCATGGCCGGCTTGATGTTCTCCCACCCGGACTATGGCCGCTTGGGGGGGCTGCATCTGCCGCGGGCGCTGCGCTGCCTCAAGGGGTGGAAGAAGCTTCCACCACCTCGCTCTCGGAAGCCCTTGGTGTCTGCGATCTGGGCGGCCATGGCGGTGGAGCTATGCCGGTTGGGGGCGCCTCTGGCGGGCGCGATGGTGTTGATCGTGGTGGAGCGTTACCTTCGGCCAGGGGATGCTGGGTTTGACCAGCAAGTCGTTCTTGGCCCCGAGCGAGCATGCTGTCCAGAGCTGGGTTGCGCGGCTCCCCCCAGAGTCGGGCACGGCCCGGGGCAAGGTGGGGGCGGCCGACGACACGATGCCCTACGATTCGGGAAGGTGCCCTTGGATGAGCCACATCCTGCGGGCCCTGAAACACAAGGGCTCGCCAAGGCCCCCCCTGGGCTTGAGCTACCCGCAGTTCTTGTGCCTCTTCCAGAGAGCGGCCCTGGACATCGGAGCCGACGTCGCCCCTTCTCAAGGCCGGCGCAGCGGGGCATCACTGGATCGGGCAACAGGACGGCGCTCTCTGGAGGAGGTGCAAAAGACAGGGCGGTGGGCTGCGCTGTCATCGGTGAAGAGATACGAGAAGTCGGGCCGCCTAAACGAGAGTTGGGAGGCCCTGCCAGAAGGGACGAGGAGTCACTGCGCCGCGGCCTCACGACTGCTGGAAGATGTGCTGCTACTGGGACGAGCCGCGCCAGTGCCGCCTTTCGTGCGCCGCGGGGCCTTGCGCGGGTGCCAGTGAACCAGGCTTTACTGCATCGGGCGCGCCCGTTCCTGCTAGATCTGTTTTCAGGCGGCGGAGGCGCTGGTGGCGCGGCCAGGCGTTTTGGGGTAGATTCGACATCTTTGGATCTGAAGAAGGTGCCTGGCCAAGATGTGTGCAGCTCTCTCATTCTGACAGCGATTGCGCGACATTCTCAACTTGGTCGGGTCCTCGGTGCGATGCCGGCGTCACCCTGCTCGTCTTTCTCGCTGGCTCGGAACCGATATCCTGGGAGGAGTGCCGAGAGACCAGAAGGGACTCGCTGTTTTGCGTGACAACGATCGGGAGGCGGTGAGAGTCGGGAACTTATGTATGCGAGTGTCAATGTTTGTGATCAGGTTGCGCCGTTTGCATAATGCGCCGTACTCTTTGGAGAATCCTCAGACATCGTATATGTAGAAGTGCTCAGACATGGCCACTCACGCGATGCCCCACAGCCGATTGCTGGACTTGCATCAATGCGCGTTTGGATCGAAGTGGCGGAAAGCGACCCCGGTGATTTTCGGTGGTGTCACTGAAGTTGGGGACTTCGCCTTGGCTTACCCCGGGCGCCTGGGGTGCCTCGGGAGACGTGGCTTCTGCAGCTTTCGACCTGGGAGACAGCGCAGTGTATTCGAGGGGAAGGCTATGACGTCCGTTTCAGCTTCGCGCCCACCTCAGCTTGCTGTGTGGCTGTGTAAAGCTCTGCTGAACCTGTCCTGAGCAAAGACTTTGCGCATTTGGTGATTTCGAGGGTCGACGCCTTCTCCGCCTGAGAATGGTCCTGCCGCTTCGCTGTGAACTTCGACTTTGCGAAACATGTAGGGTTAGGCCTGTCCGTTGCAGTTCCCATAACCCCTGGTGGCGACCATCGCGGTATCAGACTTCACCACTGAAAAAGGGATTCAACATGCGTGTGCGTGGCACGTAATTGCTTAAGCCCCTTTTTAGATATTGCAGCCCCCTCAGCAGCTGTCCCTCCGCTGCTGCTGGGGCTCAAGCTTTCCCACCCTCGGCCACCCTGGACTTGACTTTACATAGCGCGCGTCTGATTTTATTGTTCTAACACTTCCACTCCGCTCATGTGGGATTTGGCCTGTCCGTTGTACGTCCCATAACCCTTGGTCGCGACCATCGTGGTATCAGACTTCACCACTGAACAAGTGATTAAGCAGCACGTCTTCCGCAGGAGATGAGACGATGTTTGCTTGTTGGGGCCCTCTAGGAGGGCCTCTTGAGGCTCTTTGGAGCTTGTCGGCGGCGCCTACGGCCGTCTGGAGACCAGCATGGGCGTCTTGGAGTAATCGTTCGGCGATTCGGGGCCCTTTGGACCGTCTCGGGGGCGTCTCGGAGCCTTTTTCGGCGCGTTCCTGGAGCGCTCTGGGAGGCTTGGAAGGCAGCGCCGAGGAGGAAATCCATCTCTGAACCGAACTGGCCAGGACATGCTCGGGGTACTTTTCGTCCGGGGGGCCCCAGAAGCCGCCCCGCGCGCGCGAACTACGAGACCAGAGCTCTTAGCACGCCTCTGGCTCGGTGGGCCGGCGAATTGAACTATTCAATATTGAACGTGTTGTCGATATGGTATCGCATGGACTTGGAGGCTGATTCTCCTTCGAGTGATAAGGACGCTTTTTTTTGCTCGGGGAGGACATGTGCGCTGCAGGGGCGAAGCGCGATGGGGGGATGGGGTAGGAGATTGGAGGAATGTGTGAGGAGGGCGATGGGAGGAGTGGGAAAAGAAGGAGCAGGACGAGGAGGGGAGGAATAGGACAAGGACGACGGGAGGGGAGACGAGGAGGAGGAGGCCAGGAGGCCAGGAGGCCAGGAGGAGGAGAAGGTTCGGCCGATGAAGGGGGGCGCGGTCGTGACCCAGACACGCTGCTGCCCGTAAGTTCAAGCCTTCTGCCTCCCCGTGGGGAAGCTGCGTCGGGAAGGACGAGCCTGGGGGGGAGGGGGGGGCGAATGAGGTCGCCAGAGGGCCACGACTTGGCCGAAATGTTCGGCGGGGGGGGGGGGGGGGGCAACCGTCCGATCTCCTCAAGGCTCCCTTGCCGCTGCTGCGCCCACCCTCGGCGCCAGAAAGTGAGTGTACTAAGGGGAGGTGAGGAGGGGGATCAGAGTCAGCCCAGGATGTGCCAACGCTGCCCCCTTTTTCTCAGTCCCAAGGCCCCTCGTCACCCTCCCGTCCCGGGTCCACTCCCGATAGGTCCTCGAAAGGATGCCTTTCCACTGCCAGGGGCACCCCCTCGAATGAGGAGCGCCCGGTGGGCTTGCCACTCGGGCATACCCCGCTTTGTGGAGACACCACCCTCCATCCTTCCGGCCAGAAGCAGCGCAGAGAGGTGCGGTGGTCAGACTCAAAGAGGTGTCCAACGGTGCCCCCAGATCTGCCCTCGATCGTGTAAGCGTCGAGAGTCCCAACGCTCGTGGCCATAACATCGGTGGAAGTCTGAAACGAGAGCTCGATTTTGGAAAGCAGTCGCCCTCAATCCGTGCAATTATTATGCAAGTTTGAAGTCGGTTTCATACCGTTTGAGGACGTCTCAAGCGCTAGCTGCATCTTGAAAGCGAGCCCGCCTGAGTCCTTGTAATCGTTTGATGATGCAAAGACGTGTTAATTCAAAGGTGCGTCGCAATCTGATGATCCAGCCTCGATCCTTGAGGCAGCTAGACGTGTTAACGACGAGTGTTAAGTCGGGCACGTTCCTCTACATGAAGACGATTCAAACATAGTCAACATCGTCTGATGGCGATCGATTGTGCCATATTGACCAGTTTGAAAATAGTATGGACATAGTCTTCAGGATGTTGTATCTGTATCCAGAAGACGATGCCCATATTATCAAACATAGAGAACATACAACAAAATGGGAAAACAAAAAAAAACGTCTGCTGGGTATTTGCTAAGCGAACGCACGATGGACGCGGTTAGAAAGCATGCTACGCCGCGTGGCGCTACGCCGCGTGGCATATTCGACACACGCACACGTGACGAGTGCGTGCGGCGGATGTGCTCGGTTCCGAGGCGAAAGCCGCACCTTCGGAACGGTCGGCCTTCCATCCACACGGCCGATTGTCGGAGCCCGTCAGCCTCGGGGCGGCATGCTGCAAGGGAAGCCTCGAGCGACACGCCGGGCCGTGTCTGGTGGTTTTTGCGATGGGGAGGCGGGGGTGGTGAAGTGAGGTGCGTACAGGGGAGAGGGACCGGGGAGGAGGAGGAGGAGGATGAGGAGGAGGAGGAGGAGGAGGAGGCAGCGGAGGGATGAGGAGGAGGAGGAGGATCATGAGAAGAACGAGGAGGACTGGGCGAAAGAAGTTGAGGAGACGGAGTAGGAGGAGGGGGCAGAGGTGAAGGAGTGGGATGAGGATGAGGATAAGGAAGTGGAGGTGGAGGAATGAGGAAGTTGAGCAGGAGGAGGACGAAGAGCAGAGTAAATCCAAGATGCGCCAGCGGTGCTGCAATACATCCTCCCGTCCTCATACGCCCCTAGAAGAAGCTTTGATCGACTTGCGCAGTTGGACATTCCATTTTGGCGAGGGTCCCGGTTTGAAAAGGGAGTGTCTTTTTTTTCCCTCCTTCTGGCGCGAAATCAGAAATGCGAAACAGTAGCATCATACAGTTCAACGAGGTGTCCAGCGATGTTCCTTATTCGAAGGAAGAACGCCCCGCATCCGTGTAACTGCTGCACCACTTCACACGTGTGGTCATGAACTATTTTGAGAAAATGCCGCCCAGGATCCGTGCAGTGCTACGTGCATTGGAATGTTATGTCTTTGAGACGTACAACGTCTCGAGCGAGAACTCCATTTTTGAAACAGAGCAGCCCCCCATCCTCCTGAATGTATCAGGAAGGTCAAACCGAAGTGCGCGGCGCTGGGGCGAGAGGACAACTTTGTAAATTACGTGTGTCCAACCCTGGTACATGTTGCAAGAGGTTGAGACGAATGTGCGCGGCGCCACGGCCAGGGTCCCACTTTGGAAAGGGACCTCCCTCCGTTCATGAAGCTACTGCCAGCTGCTAAACAAGTGTGCGCGGCGTTGAGGCGAGAGCCACATGTTGAAAACCATCCCACTTTCCATCCGTGAAACTGCTGCAAGAGGTTGAGACGACTGTGCGCGGCGCCGAAGGCGATAGCCCCATTTCGAAGACGATCCCCTCGAACCTTACAGCTGCTGGACACTTGTAAGACGAATGTGTGTGGCGCCAAGGCGAGAGTCCCAGTTTGAAAACCCACTTGGCCCAAGCCTTGAAGCTACTGCAAGTTTCAAGCTTCACTATCATAGATGGTGAGGAAGTCTCAGGCGATTCGCTCGGCCCGCCCTATCGGCACGTCTGGGAGTGCGACAGGGAGCACAGGGGAGGATGATGAGGAGGAGGACGAGGAGGAGGAGGAGGAGGAGTTAGGAGGAGGAGGAGGAGGGAAGGGCAGGAGGTGGAGAAGTGGGAGGAGGGGGAGGCAGAAGAGGGGAGGATCGAGAGGAGGGGATCTTTGCTGCCTTCTGCCCCCCCTGGGGACCTCGCGGCGGCCAGGCGCAGCCCGCACGGGCGGCCGCGAGGGGCGAGGCCGCGGGCGGGAGCGGCAGGGCGGCGCCCAGGAGCGCGGCGTTTCCGCCTTGGCCTGGCCGGCCCAGGCCTGGCCAGGGGCGAGGAGGAGGAGGGGGGGGGAGGGGGGAGGAGGGAGTGGGAACAGGAATCGCAACATGACGGT